TGAAGCGGGGCGGGGTGAGGGACCCGGATGCCCGGGCAGCCCCCGCCCACCTTGCTAAGGTCGCTGCTTCAGAGTCTGCAGTGCGCAGGCGCGGTGCTCTGTGGCCGGGCCTGGTCCCGCCGCGCCCTCTGGGGAAATCCCGCGGGCGGAGCTGCCACGCATAGACCCTATCAATCTGTTTAGTATTTTTGCGTGTCCTATACTCATTTTAAAAAGTGAAAGCTCGGATTGCCTCCTCTTTTCTGGCATCCAGCTTGCCAGTCCCCGGGGGCACAGGAGTGCCTATTAGTTTGATGGAGATACGGTGCACAATACCCCCTTCCTCCATCTGTCTCTCCTGCAGCATGTCCTCTCAGCTGAGTGCTGGCACCTCAGTGATGAATGAGACCCAGAATCTGCCCAGATAGTAGAGGGAAGTGTGCAGGAAAGACTACATTCCTTTGTTTATTTGCATTGACCTAGTCCCCTCAGCCTTGAGCTCCCATTCCATAGGGCAAGCAAGAAACTGACCTTGATTTTGGGTGGAGTTCAGCCTTTCCTGTAATTCCAAGGCATATGATCTATCTAGTGCAGCTCCAAGGATCTGGGAAGGCCTCTCTAGCAGGCAGTGTATTCTGCGGAGACACCCTCCTGTTCCCAGACCCTTGGCTCCGCCAGAAAACTGGTGATGCTGGGAAGCTGCTGCAGGCCTCACAGCCAAGCTTTCTGCGGCTCCTCAGCTGAGTGTGTGGGCACTGCAGCTCGGGGCTTACCGAAATGATTGCCCCCCTTTCCTTCAGTTTCCATGTCCCCCTCTTAGGTTCTCTTTTCTTTCACCTTCCAGTCTCCCTCAAACTATAAACAGCTCAGTGGCTTATTGTTGGGAAGCATAAGTCATCATGGAAAGTGCCTGCAGGCAAGTTCCTTCTGCTCTGGCAAACCATAAACCTCCAATGCAAGGGAGAAGTAAAGACAGATGTCAGTGAATATCTCAAGAAGTTACCCAATGGTCACAATCCCCCAAGTGAGAGATAGACGTGCCATGTAAAGTGAGGCAAAAGGAAGGGTGTGGGAGATCCATTCTTCTGAAGTTGCCTGCAGCAGGAGGGCCTTCTCAACTAATTTGCTGATGCTTCTTACTCTAAAAAAGGCCTCCTCGGGGCTGTTGCTGAAGTCTCAATCCATGCTCATGCAAATAAACATTCATGATAGATAGGCACATCTGCCCACATTTGTCATTTTCCCTTTTCCTGCACTTTTCCCTGGATTTTCCAGCCATTTCCTGAGCAGCACTATGCTGTTTCACCCTTAGTGCCTCTCTTCTTGCTGTTCTCTTTACTATGAAAGCAACGCTTACCTAGGAACACTGAAAAAATCACTATTTAATGAAGTCTTCTTTCCTGTCCCCATCTTGTTGATGGACTTTCTTTTGGAATCTTCACCTGTGCCCTGTACCCACTTTCCTTTTAGTATCAGGTACACTTAGGGTTCCAGCTTGTTTGCATATTTTCTTTCCCAACCAGAATGTGAACCCTTCAACAGTAGGAACGATGTTTCCTCAAGTCCTAGCAGGTGCTGGTGCACAGTGGGCATGCAATGTTGTTGGGGAGGTAATGTTCTCAGGTGGGCCAGAGAAGCTCCAAAGTGGAGAGAAAGGCTGAGCTCCCTTTTCTTTCTCCTCCTTTCTTGTGGTTTCCTTCCCCTGACCCATCTTTGGAAACCTGTTTTGTTTGTTTAGAAAGCTTGGCTAGAAATTTGCTAGTTCGAACAGGTTATAGAGTAGAGTCTTCCCTTGGGACTGAACAGGCGGAACATGGCCTCACAGTTTCCACAATATATATGACAGGATACTGCCCTTCCACCCCCAGAAGCAAATTATTCCTTGTCCCCCTTAGAGGAGAAGTTAGGGTTTGGGGTCTCCTGGTATTTTCAGCTGGGGATTCATCTGCTGGACCATTATCCTATCTGCCTAGTGATACAGAAGGTTCTACAACTCCCTCACCACTCCCAACCACCCTCCTTCTCTAGGGAAAATGCATGTTAGGGTGGGATGTGGGTACATTCAAGGAGGTCTGGGCAGTTTAGGTGGGTATGTCAAACAACAGGCATCCAGGACTTGAAGCAGTGGCTTTCTCAACTAACATGGTCTCTTGTTCCGCATGGGGGAAGAGGGGACAGGAAAGGCTTCACTGTTTAGGACTTAAGAGAATGTCCCTCTTTCTATTTACCCTCCTCCTAGTCCTCTCCCATCTCGTACTTTCTTCAGAGCATTTTCATCATCTCCAACCCAGTCTCAGAAAACTCTGTCACTACTCACATGGTCAGAAGTCCTTAAAGACTCCCTTACCTTCTGGAAAAGAGATATTTTCTAATTTTAAATCAAATGTCTGTGACTAATGTGGAATAGCAGCTTTCTGGATGGTAACTGTAGTGGGAACAGAGGCTGGTTTTAGTTGGATCTGTTGCTCAATACAAGATTTTTGAATAACTGCCAGATTGATAAAGGTGAAAACAGTCTTTCAAGCAGAAGCTAGAAATCAAAGGTTGTCCACAGCCAAACTCCTCTCCCTGTCCTCCCAACGTGGTGGGGCTTATCCATCTGTTAAGTAGTAGGCACTATCCCAGTAAAACATCCTTGTATTGACCAATCCTTTGACTACTTAATTACCTAGAGCTCTGAATATCCCTTCAAGGGCTATTCATTCAAACCATTCCATGCTTTGACCCCTTGGACTGGGTCAGCAGAAGAGTCCCACATTTTTATAAGAGCCTGAGGTATAGCTCTATGTTCCC